GAGGAACTAAAGGCTGAGTCCGAGGCCAAAATTCGAGATGCCATGTTCTTCCAGATAGCATCTGATGGTTGGAAGTTAAAGAATAATGGTCTTTATGGGGTTGACGATTTTGTGAATTTGACAGTGAATCTTCCCCATGGGACTAGTGTGTTTAGGAGGGCAGTTTTTACCAATGTTTACGTCACACCTAAATATGCTGAAGAGGTTTTATGGGAAACCATTACTGAAATTTGTGGAAGCTCAGTGCAGCAATGTGTAGGCATAGTTTCAGACAAGTTTAAGGCTAAGGCATTAAGGAATTTAGAGGATCAGCATCCTTGGATGGTTAATTTTTGCTGTCAATACCAAGGTTTCAATAGTCTGGTTAAGGATTTTGGTAAAGAGCTTGCGTTATTCAAGAATGCGACTGAGAGGTGTGTGAAATTGGCGAATTTTGTTAACAATAAGTCTCAAATTCGACATAGTTTTCATAAGTATCAATTGCAGGAATATGGGCATGCCCATTTGTTGAGAGTACCCCTGCGCGGTTATGAAAGATCAGATTTCGGTCTAGTGTACACCATGGTAGAAGACATATTGTGTTCTGCACGGGCGCTTCAGTTAGTATTCTTGGATGAAGCAAACAAGAGAATGTTAATGGAGGAGCCAATTGCAAGAGAAATCGAAGAAATGATGAGGAATCCACATTTTTGGAATGAATTAGAAGCGATAAATTCGTTAGTTAAATTGGTGAAGGCAATGGCTCAGGAGATTGGGATGGAGAAGCCGCGAGTTGGGCAATGCCTTCCACTTTGGGAAGAGCTTAGGGTGAAAGTAAAGGATTGGTGTTCTAAATTTCACATTGTTGAAGGACCCGTAGAGAAGGTGATCAACAGGAGGTTCGAAAAGAATTATCATCCAGCTTGGGCTGCTGCTTTCATACTTGACCCGCTTTATTTGATTAGGGACAGTAGTAGGAAATACTTACCACCCTTCAAATTTTTGACATCTGAACAAGAGAAGGATGTTGATAAGCTCATAACCCGCCTTGTATCTCGGGAGGAGGCGCACATTGCACTTATGGAGTTGATGAAGTGGAGAACAGAAGGGCT